CGTTCAAAATGAACGAATCGTTCAAGAACGACCCAACACTATTCTTCATCTGGACTGCATGTCTAGGCTACTGCAACTATCTTCAGTTTTGATGTCAGTAATAGGCTATTCTGCGCCAAATCGGTAGGACGTTTGTCTCACACAAACCCAAATATCTTTTTGTTTCCCTTGCACATTTTACTGACCAGTAGCCTAACGCGTTTTCTTGGGCTATAGCCTATGTTGGGTTGACTTTAGTCATATCATCCTGTGACTAAATAATAATTTAACGACGTGCTTCGTGCAGTGGTACGAACACAACCAAACACCCATAGCTCACTCAGCTCTGTTTGCCAGGGAGGCTTGCAGGAAGCTGCTCGTGACATCGGCGTGTTCAGAGACACGACTAGTTCGTCCTTGAGACCGAGAATCGTGACGAGATCGCCATGCTTCCAAACAACAACCTTTTCCTGTTTATGGGGACACGGGTACAAATGAAGATAGGCTATGTAGCTTTCCGAGCATTTAGTCATTTCAAAGTTTGAAGAACTCAAGAAGAACTTACCTCAAGTGTGAAGGGTCAATTTGAGTCCACCGTGAGAAGGAGAGAGTAAGTCTGCATCTTGAAAGGGTCAATTTAATGTTCTCGGGCTCGCTGTTTATTATTAACACCTGGAAATAATGCGAGTAAATTTAGAGCAGATTTATATTGGATTGAGCAAACATGGGGAAAAGCTTGTCATGGTGGCAGTGTCTGCCAAACAGCACTAGTACACCCAGTGGCTCTCATCCCTGTCTGATGGATGAACCCGGGGTCGTTGGCTCACTGATACCGTCTTATCGCACTCCGCAAGGTGCTCCTTTGAGGTTTACACCAAATTCTGGCGAGTCTCGCAGGGCATCCTTCCCAAATCACTCAAAATCCGTGGCAATGAACTAACAAAGGCCCGAGATCAAAGGCTCTCAGATGATGGAGCTGATTTCCCACATATCATTCTGTGTGTATTTCATACATTCATTCATGAAGATATATTATCAACTGCCT